CATTTGCAAAAGAAGCAGCAGATATGGTATATACGGAAAGTGATGTAAAGCATATTGTTACAAGTATCAAAGAAGGTCGATTATTGTATGCAAATTTAAAGAAAACGATAGCATATACATTAGCTCATATGCTACCGGAATTATGCGCTGTTATGTTAGCGTTTGTAATCGGTTTTCCAATTGGTCTTAGTAGTTTACAGGTTTAACATTTTAATTTTTTCTTTTGTAAATAATAATTGAATTCTAACCGGATCATAATTCCAATTATGAAATACTCGAATATAATGATGTATTAATTCTAAAATTTATTACTAATACATCATTATTTCTAATTTATACATGGATAAATAATTTCTCATTTTTATATTTAATTAATAAAAAAGATATGAATGGAATGAATTAGAGAAATATCATTTTATTAGTGATATGATATGAAAGATTACCAAGAAGAAAGATTATCAATAATAATTAATTCAAAACAAAACAAAAAAATGGTTCATCAATTTAATTTATTTATTCTTAGTTTTATAATATCTTTAATGCATAAAAATAAATTTTTAAAAATTAAAATTTTTTCTTTTATTACTTTTTCAACCTAAATTATTGTATAATTTTATTATTATAAATGAAATTTTTCATTCTATTTTATACTATTATAAATGGATTTTATTATCACAACAAATTGTAAAATTTAAATTAAAGTTTAAAAATTTCAATATATTGCATGTAAAAGTTTCTTGGAGAAAATTTTGCAATTTTAGGTTCTTTCAATAGATTTGATCACTGAAATACCACCCTCAATAGCACTTACATATGAAGCTGGTGAAAAGGATATTATGTGTAGACCACCAAGGAAATCTACCGCTCGATTAGTTTCAAAAGCGCTTCTTCTTTATTCATATATTTTTATTGGTGGTATCATATCAGCTGGATGCTTCATTGCATATTTATTCGTTTTTTGGTTCATTATTATTTTAATTTATTTTTTTAACAAAAAATCAGACATTTCTAAACATCTGTTTTGCTAATATAATTATTATATATATATAAAATATGATATATAATATATAATATGATAAACATAATATAATAAATATAATATGATATATATAATATAATAAATATAATAAATATAATTCTAAAATTTAGTTTAAAAAGAAAATAAAACTAATAGGTTTAAGCGAAATAGCTTAAAGGATATGAAATGAATTCTTTACGAATTGTTATATCTAATAGATATGTAATTATAGTGTAGCAAATATCCGGAATATTCTTCCGAATAAAATTAAAATATTATTCAAGCATTATCGTTCTAGCAATTTACAATCAATTACTTCCTGTCCATAAATGGATATATTTCAAATACCTATAATTTAAAAATAGATAAATTATTTTTAAATATTTTAATGAATGCACAATTAAATTCTATTTTAGGTTTTATGAAATAACCTTGCGAGATTTATTTCATTCTAATACCAATCATTGGCGTCCAAATGCGGAAATTTTATCAACGAGTACCGGGAAACATTATACAGCCGAAATTCAAATACTTATTCATGAACAAGCAAAAGCTGCCTGGCATATTACATTAGTTATGTCACAGGTTTGCTATTTATTACTTACAAATAATATATGTAAAATTATGAAAAACAAAAAAAAAAGATAATTTATTTTTAAAATTTTATTAGGAAGAATAATTAAATAATAGAAATTATTATGAATAATTAAATTAATTTCAAAGTAAAATTAATTATTTCATTTTTTTAAACTAATAATGATAATACATTTAATGTAAATCATTTTAGGTCTTTCATTTTTGGCTTTGTACAACAAGAAGAATTTCCATCTTTAAACATGGCACACAAAATATTGCAGCAGTTCTTGCATTACTTATTGAAATTTGCATTCTTAATTTCCTGATTTATATGCCAGGTGTGCAACAATGGCTTCGTGTTACTCATCCACCAGCATTTGTTTGGCTTTTTTGTTTACCTGTTGGTATTGTTCTTATCATTTTTAATGAGGTTATTTTATTATTTATTTTTCTTTATTCTTTTCTAAAAATTAATTATCATTTTTTTCTTGCTTATTCAATTTTGCAATATGCATTCTTTTTATTATTATACTAAAATTATTTCACGTAGTATTACGCAGTTGTTAGCATTAAGTGATATAAAAACATGCAAACTAATGGGATATTCTTTGAGAGAATAATTTGCAATTATTTAATGCAACAGGTAACAGCATTATTACTAATACTCTCCTAAGTTGTTAATTAATGATTTTCGGAAACAATGATACATGAAGCTTTGGAAATATTATAGGAATATAAACATTAAAATCTGACTTTGTTGCTTATAAATATATTGTTTCATATATTTAGCTGATATTTAATTTTTATCACAAATACTAATACAGTAACATTATCATTACTGGATGATATATATAAGGAAAACTAATCAGTTCCGGAAAATTATTCATACAGAAAAAGCTATGTTATAATGAATTTACTTAAAAAAAAGACAAGGAAGTGTAGAACTATATTTCGCATTTATCTATTTCATAACTTACAATTGATAGATAAAATTTGATACTTTATTCAAATTTAAAAATAACGCACATTTTCAGACACGAAAATGGCTCATTAGAAGTTATCCAACCAGTAATACTGTACGAGCACTAAAATGGTAAATGATAGATGTAATTTATTTAATGCCAGCTTATCGATTGTGTAACATCATAACATATCTATTTGAATTTTTTTCTTTTCCATTTTTTGTCATATAATGTAACAGATATTAATGAGTGCAAGCCATTTCAATGAATCATTTTGTATAATAATAATAATAATAATTAGTCATCACATATTTGATATGTAAATATTATTTGTATTCAATTCATTATTCTTCTAAATTAATTTAATTTTTGAATTGTATTGTAATAATTTCAAATTTTTTAGCGCAAAACATTAGTCATTTAATAAAATAATAAATCATCCATTTATTTATTATTATGGTTTTTTGACTTTATTTTAGTACTATGATGTTACCAACAATATATCCGAAGCTCATTCAAATATTAGCAATATATTTAGAAATTTGTTATCTCTAATTTCTACGCTTTCTTCTTGTCTTTTTCCAAACCAACGAAAAAGTGAAAGAATGATATAACAATGAATAATTTGATTTTAAATAGCGAAATATTTAACAAGCAACTGTGGTTTATTCTCTACCATTTTTTCAATGAGCAAATCTCCTTATTTCCCGATACTTTTGAAGCTAGAAAAAGAAAGTATTGAAGCATTCCAAGACAGTGAGATCCGAAATTACTAAACAATGATGCAACCGTTTCATCATAATCCTTACCTGGTCAATATTTGAAGTGCCGTAGAATTTAATGCCACGTGTATCTTTCCAACATATTCGAGATAACTTGAACACACTCGAGATAACTTGATATGAACCAGGTTTGCCAATCATTCGTTTTCATTGCTTTCTTTCACAGTGATAGAATTTACTTCTATGCTACTGGATTGTATCAATCCACAGACGGAATATGAGATAGTGATGTAACAGGGAAAGTGGATTTAAATTTTCTAACGAATAATTTTAAAAAATGGATAAAATTAAGATCTGTAAGACGATATAAAAGAAATTATTTCAATATCCTATATTTCCCAAGTACAGTAATCACTCCGTTACCTTTGTCTAGCACTTTAATCGTGTCTGTCTTAATTGTTTATTCGTTTCTGTATCACTCACAAGAAACAATAAAAGCATGAGATTGCTGCGGAATTCTTTGTTTACTACTCTCGATTGTTAATGAAATGTTAACGCACACTGGAATACAGCCATTCCGGATTTCTCAGAGAACAGAAACAATCATTTAGCTTTGCATAACGATAACTTGTTTACTGATACAAACATAAATCATTAAATGATATGCGGATTATTAGGACAAATTAAAAACTAAAAGACAAGTGAAATCTGGCACTCCTTAGGGATACTATCCACCAGATGTTGCCGGATGAATGGATTAATATATACGGCATACAATGCATTCCGCTCTCATAGCAGAACAATTTTTTAATAGAATGATGGTAATTTACCGAAACTGTTGCAAAAAGATGCAATAAATGATATTGTACTTTAAATAAAGTAGAAAAACCGGTTTTCGTTGCATAATTTTATGATCTACAAGATATTATACCGATCACTAGCACTAAAACGACTTATATATTCAAACATTTCAACGCATCTGAATTCCAATAGCGATCTTCGCCAATAACTTTCATTCCTATCTTTTATCATTCCTTCATTTTAAAAATATATGACATTTTCGAAATAATTTTTTAACACCATAAGCAACCAATACCTACTATCAATTTTTTTAATTACCAAATTTCAACATGTCGCGGAATATCATCTGCATGCGTCATTTTTCTTTAGATTCTTTACATGCAAATTTTTAATTTTTTGATCACCGTAAAATGAATAAAATGAAACATAACAAAATGAAGTTTTACGAAATATTTTACTACAGTAATTAGCACCAGCAATTAAATCCATTTTCCTTCACATCACATTTTTTTAAAGAACAAGAAAACCTACAATACATGTAGAAGAACATCTGTTACATTAAAAATACTACTGGTAATAAAAATCATTCAATATGAGCTATAAGTAGTTCTACTAATTCACACAACGGATTTTTTAGCAATATGAGCAGTACGACAGAGCTAAAAATGCCTCCGTCTCAAGTATTTTTTGACATATCTGAAAATTAAAAAGACTATAGACAGAATTGACTACTTAAGGATCATATTAATTGATTTGTTGAGGATTCCTCTATGTCACATACATCGTGGTTCGACATTACCTACCATTATCATCTTCATATTCTTATGAGCTCCTGATGTGGCATTTTTAGAAAATTGCGTATCTTAAAATGAATAATAAATAAAACACGAAATAGGAAACTAATAATGAATGTCAAATGCATTACTGATCAATGAAGCTGATATTGGAGTCGTTAAAGATCGACCTACCCGCTGGATTATTCTGACACTCCACATATTCGATGAGCTCTTCTGCAATTTATTTCTAATTGAGCATTGTCAGAAACACTTAAATGAGTTCTACTTATAAGACATAACCGCAGAAACTAATATCATTGCTTTCGCAGTGAAAATCTTTTCCAAACCTGATTGATTGCATTCCTTGTTAATTGATCTTCAATAAGAACATGTTGCACAAAATTTGAATAAGGTAGATAAATACTTTTTATAAAGGTAGACGAAGGAGATTTAGTATCTTTGCATACAACTGATTCATCTGGAGTACCCGATAGTGAAGCTGCAGAATAGCCCAATAACAGCATCTTTTTATCATTTGCTTTCAATTCATCAAATGCTTCAATATCAAACTGGTTTCTCATCGTTATTCCTAACAGACTCCCCTACAAATATACTTTCGTCGACAATAGTTTAAAATGATATATACAAATTATATCTCGTATATTTTTTATATAAATAAAGTAAGTGGCTAACTTTTCCTGCATATTTTGCAAGCTGCATGCGAAATCCGAAATTTGGATTAGCACAGGGTCGTTTACTGACGATGTATGCCAAAGCAGAAGCATAACTCATATCGCAAGCAGCAATAAGATACGATGCTACAATGCATACACTACGGCTAACTCCGGCAATGCAATGTACAAGTACTGACTCTGAAAATCAGCTTATTACCACATTCAACATTCTACCAAAAATTCATTATAAAAAATGCCAAACAGCCATTATAAGAAAACATCAAAATATCAGTTATGTTTAGAAATTATGGAAAAATCTCATAATATAACGCAAGCACTTTTTCCTTATTTTAATTTTAGTAAACAAAACATATCGGATGAGTAATAACTCTTAATTCTTTTTAATTTACTTACTTTTCGATAAACGAGCATGATGGATAAATTCAGCGGTTTCTGCGAAATGTTCGCTAATATTTGCTTCAGGTATATCCGCCATATGTATGCGCAAAATATTTAGATCCTTTAAAGTGCTGTTAGTACGCCCGCTCAACTCATGTATCGATACCATATAACTGATCTGATCATACATACATAATATTCCTAGTTCTTACTATTACTAAACATATAGGTATGCTTATGTTACACTTTACATATATGTGGAAGTATTGCTTAATACTAAAAGACTATAATTAACCTATCATGTTTGCCTATCATGTATATCCGGTGCAATGCAAACGAGAATATCACTAATCTAACATTATTAACAAACCAAATAATAAAGGATTAAAATTAGAATTCATTTAATGTAAATAATAATGTAACATATGATATATAGCAAAAAATAGTTTACATGAAATTAAGAATTATGTCACATTAAAATACAAACGTTACATAACAGACTACATAATAGTTAGTAAAAAAAGAAAAATATAGTAACTTGTTTCTCTTTCAGTTGCTCTACATCATTCGCATCACGTAAACCACCCAAATATAAATACGGAAGAATTTCTGACATTCCATACCAACTTCGACCTTTCCATTGGAGTAATTTTTCCATACCCTTTTTTCTTATCTGCTTATTTGTTCAGCATTTTGCATCCAATACGGCTTATCACCTAAATATACGGAAAACTTTCCGAAATAATGTAACAAAAACGCATCCACACATTCAATCCTGAAAGACTTAATTATTCGGAAATTTCAGTTTTCTAAAAAGCGTCTGAATCTATTCTATTACTTGATGACCAATGAATGAATCTAACATAGCTAATTGAATTAGCGATTTCATGTCGATATTCTATTTGACGATCAATTCTATACCTTTTAAATATAAAATTAATTGTTCAATTTTATCCTTATGATCTTACAATCATCCGAATTTATCGTTATGCCTCGCTATGGATAAATTTAATTTCCACAATTTGCAATCATTTCATTCATTAAGATGATGAATGGGAAAGTTCGAAGGTTAATATTATACCATATTGCGTTATTTTTCTTTTTTGAAAAATTATAATTTATATGTTGAGTTTTTTTTTGAATTCATTATAATAAAATGTTTTTAATTACGAATAAAACTTGGATACTTTGAATTTACTTTTAAAAGAATAAATTAATGGGAAAAGTATCATTGATCAGTGATGCTTATACAGTTAGATGTTTTCTCTGAACTTTATGAGGGCTTATATCTCAATCACCAATAATATTCCATTGGAGAATCAGCTGAGCATAGGATTTTACATGATTGCGGGAATTTCAATATGACTGTTTAGCTGCTTGTACGAAGGAAAATGTAAGTATATATTCTTAGATATTAAAAAAAGAAAAATGTTATTTTTTCTTCTTCAAGAATTCAAGGACAACACTTAGTGATATTCTTATCACCATAAATCTATTGATTATCAGGAATTTAGGCCACTACAAAAAAGTGATTTGAAAGTGATTTTTCACAAAAAAGTGAAAAAGTGAATATGATTCCAAGAGAAGAAACATAATACAATGCAAAAAATTTTGATAATTCTTTCCATCAACTGTTAATTGAGAATTGATTGCTCCTTTTAATGTGAAATTAAAATGATCCTATCTAACTGCAAATGGCATGATTTTAATATATGGCTACATTAAGTTATCCGGAATGAATATATGGCCAACTATCAAAAATATATCATAAAAGAAACGATCTCAGATGGCTCGGCATTTTCCTTTAATGAAATAAATAAATCAATTGATAAGATATTTTATACCATTTTCATATTATCGAGTTATACTGCTGATCACAATATTCGTGATATTCTTTCTGATTAATCTGATAAAGTAATTTGATATTGAAGTGTATACTTCAAGTTGCAAATATGAATTTCATATCATATTATTTCTCTCTCATTTATATACAGAAATAATGATTACCTTTCGACTTTATGCAAGTAAATTATAAAGCAAGCAAATTATGCTCAGGAGATTAATAAAAAAATTAGAGATATCCACCACCACATATAACAACTTTTTACGACATTTACGTGAGATTTCACGGATCATTACGAATCATAAGTTACATCCTTTATTATTATGAAAATGTTACCTGTTGAAAAATTTCTTCCAATATTTTCAATAATCATGATAAATTGTTCAGATTATAAAGAAAATTAAAAAATTTATTTTCATACATTTAATCTACCAATAATAAAAAGCAATAAACCAGAAAGAAAACATAAAAGAAGAAAAAGTGGATCGAAGTGAATCCATCAAAACTGCAGTAAATATGAGTGGAAAATTCCGAATAAACAATAAATTTCCTTATTTGGGTGGAAAATCCGGCAGACGACATCGCTTTGCTGAGATCATTTCGCTTATATCCACAACAACACCACGATAACGAATCTGAAACAATTCGAATGATCTTCAATGATACTGTGAAATATCTAAAATATAATTACATTTCACTTTCAAAATTCTAGTTAATTAAAAAAAATTTAGTTGGGTAAATGAAGTAAAACTTATCTAAATAAAGGAATGAGGTATGATACAAAAAACCTTATATTTATCTTTATCTTGGATAAGCAATCATGCATAACTGATACAGTCGTAGTTCACTAGTGTTAAATGTAAATATACTCTAACCTCCATGAATACCGAATCCGGAGAATCTTCACAATCAAGTCGGGTTGCAATTGGTTCACCTTGTGCAACATGTTGTGATCCCAATAATCGATCCCGATAACGTACATTGTATAGCACAACTTCATAATCTGGTATATTTTTTTAATTAATAGAAAAATTGAAAGATTATAAAATTTTTACTTAAATTTCCAATTGAAAATTTACCGGTCCATTCACCAGTACCAATAAGTACTACACCATTATTATCACAACCGGTGTAAACACCTTGAACAGCATATAGGCGAGTTCGTCCGACAATTTTAGCATCAATTGGTGAGTAAATATCCGGAACACGCATTTCCTATAGAGAAATATTAAGGTTAAAAAGAACAAATAGAGGTGTGAAATAGTCAAATCATTATAATCTATCTTTACCTGACAATTTAACTAAAATAATTTTGTAAAAGAAATTTTAGAACGCGATAATTTTAAACATAAATTCAATGATCTGCGTGCAATGAACTATCAAATACAGTTTAATGGAATTGATCGAACAGTTTTGGTTTGTTAAAAATTCAATCGCTTTTTTCATATATTTTTAAATTTTCATATAACAATGATAAGTGTATGTTTACAATGAAATCCTTTACCTCCTTATCATCATCCTGAATTTTCGGACATTTGATATCCCAACCACGCACTGCATTATATCGACTAGAGAAAGATATTGATAAATTTATCAGTTTAATAAAAATCTGATAAGAAGTGGAACTTTTTTTTTCAATTTCAAAATATCGAATATTTAAAAAGTATCTTCAAAATCAAAATATGATTGAAATTAACCTATCATATTTAAATGGCGGTCCTAACAATTCATTTTTAGGATTTGATTCACAAATTTGTCCAGTACACATGCCTATAAAATATTTTTTTTTTGTTTAGATTTAAGTAAAAACTAATTTAAATCTATTTCGGCTTTTCATATAAATCAAATCTTATCGGATTTTCAACTCATGTTATCAGACATCAGACTTATCAGATCTATCAACTTACACTGCTGATAAATTGCTCATATATCTTTCTTATGATAGCAATCTTAATTGAGATATTAAAGAATTAAAGAAGCGCAATTTTACTTTTCCAATCAAATTTTGTCAATTTTATCAAATTAATTTTGCTAATTTTATTTTGAATGATATTTTCATATTTTACTGAAAAAAAAGAAAAGAATATTTTTCATACTCACTCGACGATAATAATCTAATCGAAACATTTGAGGAAACTCACAATTCCGAAGATGAAATGTTGGATCGATCGGTTCTCCTTGTTTGAATAATTGTAATCGTACATATGGATCACTATCATCATTCGCATAAATACAACGATGATCTTTTGCAATCCCAATTCGTTCACCTTTTTTAACTCGTCCACCAAAAAAATCTAACGATATCGATGCGATCAATACATGATAACCTTAAATGAAATATTCCGAAATTTTGCAATCATTAATAACTGATCAGATATGTTATATAATTGGAATTCTAAAATTTTCTAAAGAAAAAGTTCTGAAAAAAAAAACCATGCATTTTTTTTTTATTCTTTGATTAATTTACTGAAATTTTGATGTTTATATTTCTTCATTAATTCATTATTAGAATTCAAATGTCAAATGTCAAATATCAATAATTAATAATAATTTTTCCTGTCATGGTCATTAATTCATTTCTAAGCTTGCAATGATATCCAAGATCAGAGCATTTTTATCAGGTAGGAAAGATGATATCAAAGATGAATAATAAGATATTAGAATAAAATATTAGATTGTTTATTGTGCAAAATTTTATTTTCAAAAAATTGAAAAAAAGTGAAATTTAATTTCTTCATTAATATTAAGTTTTTTTTAAATAAAAAATCTATATCAATACCAAATAAAGTTATAATTAATACATTCTAATTTAATTTCAGTTTTTCGAATTATATGAAAATATTTTGATTTATAAAATTTGGATAACTAATTTGGAAAACTCAATTTATCTTACCTTGCCATTGACCTATTCCCTCAATACGTACACCTTCATCAGCGCATTCATAATTCGCATGATTACCAAATGGTTTCCAAAAATAAAGATCACCATCAAATGGTGCATATACTTCACTTTGAGGTGAACATGCTATGTCAACCGCTTCAAGTAACAATCCATCACGTCTAAAATCGGTACATCTTTTTAAAATTGTAAAATTAAAAAAAAAAAACAATTAACGCATTTAACAAATTACATAATTAACAGATCAAATTTTTAATTAATTAATACTTGAGAAGAATGATCAAAATATATAATTGCATATATTATTTGCAAATAAGATTTATTTTTGTAAAATGAAAAGTGTAAAAAAACAATTTCAATCTTAATTTTGTCGATAATATTATTCTTTCATTTATATTCAGAAATTTTATAAAAGTAATTTCATATTATAAAATAGTTAATAGTTTATAATTTAGATGATAAATTAGCTTACCCAACAGCAACTTAATAGATTATAACTGAAATTCAAAACAAATTAATTTTAATTATAACTGAAAATGAATTTTCATCTCATATGAACTATTCTTACCCGTTTTTAATCAATTTCATTACCTTTTGCCTTTGAAATCACCGCAAAATTCGCCATCACATTTGATTAACTTATTTGTTTCATCACTTTGACAGATCTTTCCCATACATCCCAGACCATTTACTGAATATATATATATTTCCATTATTGAGATTTTCAACAAATATCAATCTATTCATTTTTCTTTTAAATGCAATTTTAATTAAAATTTAAAAAAGTTATTTAGTACTACGTTTCAATAATTAAGCTTTTGCTTTTCTTACCGATGTCATCTAATTTCTCAAAAGATCTAATTCTAATCATCATTTTATCAAATTGATAAAATACAATTAGAATTACATGAGATAGTTGTAAAATTTCCTAAAAATTTTGAAATTACTAGATTTTCTCCTAACAATAACTTAACAAATTATAACTGAAATTCACAACAAATTAATTAATAAATTGTAACTGAAAATTCAAAATTAATTAATTAATTAATAGTTTCTTTGTTTCGTGCTAATAATATGATCAAATCTAATTGATTATATCACACAAATATAAACCATATGACAATATTTAGTTATCAGAAAAATTTTTCCAATTATCAAAAATATTTGTCGGAAAAAAATCAAATACTAAAATTACAACGATTAACTAATTAAATATCTAACCTTTGGTGAAAATGGTGAAGAATGCATAAATGTATAACAGTGATAAGGTAGACATAATAATTATTTGAAAGTTGCTGAATGATTTTGGGATGCCTTACTGGTGGTTATTAATGATCGATGATTAATTAATGTCTTATCATCTCAACTCCTATGCATCTATATGATAGACCGATGCCGATTATTTTTCACTGACAAACATCTGCGGTTGATTGGCCAATCAATGTGAGTATATATGTGTGTGTATGTGTGTGTCTGTCTGTTTGTCTGTCTGTCTATGTGTGATACATCGACCATCCTCTTATCATATCGTATCAGTATGTGTCATTTCTAAGGATAAAAAAGAAAACGAATTCAAATTTCATTATTATGAATAAATTTTATTATCACAAAAATTTGTAATAATTTTATTATCACAAAAAAATTCAAAATAAAATTTTACAATTTCAATATGTAAAAGTATACAAAGCTATTCTGATAAATAATTAATCAATAAATCAATTAACACAATTATCATATTCATATATGTCACTAAAATATTATACAAAATCAATTCAAATGGCATATTTATTAAATAAGCATTTGTTTGAACTTTTTTTATTGAAATAATTCAATAGATAATTGAAACAAAAAAAATTACAAAAAATAGAATAAAGGTATAGTTATATAAATAGATTAAACTATAAGGATATAATTTACAATTACAAAAAATATTCAGAACAAATAAATACGAGAAATAAGTGTTGCTAAAAAAAGACAAAGAATATTATATTTTAATGATTCGTCAGTATAAAATATATAATTTGCATATTTGATTTAAAAGAAAATCAATTTTAAATGTTTTATTTTTTGAATAATTATTAGTAATCATTAAATTACTTCATGCAAATTTTATGTATAACTTCCTCAAAAACTATTTTATTTTCTTTAACTTCTTTTTTAATATCAAATAAGAATAGATTGTAAAGACATAGGAAATCAAGGATGAATAATTGTTATCAATGTATGATATGCTCTAATTGCAAATTATTAGTCTTATCATGAAGTTTGAGATGAAGCAATCCTTTCGTCTTATCAATTGCTTTATAACCACATTTTGTACAATTATATGGTAATCGTTGTTCCTTCACCCTAAAACATGATTTAAATATTTATCTGTAATGATATTACTATTTTCATATTTATTTGCATTTGATTTTAATTAATACAGGTATGATAATTTTAAAATATTTTTGAAAAAATTTTAAAACAAAAAAGACGAATGTCTAATTAATTAACAAATAAAAATAATTAAAAATACTAACAATTCTTTCAGCGTTGTATGATTCATCAATTTTGTTTCATTTCTGGAATTATGAAAGAGATTTAACCGAAAAAATAAACCTTTGATCTTATATATTAACTTCTATGTTACAGAATAAACAATTAATCTGTCGCTTATTTCAAATTATATTTACAAAATGAAAATTTATTTATAGAAATTGCCAAATACGAAATGATACAACAAAATGTTATTTATCAATGTATTACGAAAAATAACAAAAATTTTGCTTAATTATTTAAAATTTAATTTTACGTAAAAAGAAATATAATAAACAAAACTAACCCAATTACAGAAGCTTTTGTTTCATCGGTACAATCAATAAATTTCAATGGTTTATTATTCATTCGTTGTTCATTGTTTGTATTTGTAGTTGATTTAATAATTGTTTCAGTAGGAATGGAATGAATAATTGAGACGAATTCTTTCGGATGAAATTCATATTGTTTCAATCGAGCATTTGATAAAAATTTGGAATTTGATGAACCAATCACTAATTGATAGTGCTTTTGAAAATGGCGTAAAAAGCGATCGACATGACTAAATCCTTGCTCGCAAAAATTGCAATGATAATGAAGACGCTTTTTTAACTTACAAAATGGTCGACTGCAAAATGCAACAATCATTTCTGATGATAAAATTGGATTCATAATTACTGATATCATTGATATAAGCTGAAAATATGAAGAAAAAAAACAATTTTAAATAATAACATAATGAATTATTAATTGGCAATTTTTTACTTTTCTTTTTCTCAACTGATTAAAAAAATAAATTAAAAAGAGCAATTAATTAAATGGTCAATATTTGTTATGGAAATTTAAAAGAAATGCATAAAGTGATAGCATACACTATTATATTATTAGCAAATGAAATGTTTTACAATATCAAATGACCGCTCGGACAATAACATTTAGAAGAAATGACCGTTCGAATAATAGAAATGTAATTTTTCAGATAAAAGACAACAAAATGAATTCGCTGTATTTTGACAAAAAAGAAAAGTAAAATGTGATAGTTAAACAGACCTAATGCAAATAATTAAAAGATAAAAAATAGCCTACTCACCTTTGGAATAAGTAAATGTGGCTGAGTAATACTGATTTCTCGGTTTTCCGCATTAGCAATAGGCAAGCTGGAAATTAGATGCAAATAATTTTTGATAAAATTCTAATGTCTGTTAGTAAAATTATTATAATTCATTAGCAGCTAATAAACAATGAAAATTACCAAGCATTTGCTGTGCTACAATTAATCGAATTTTCGATATCACTTCCAATTTTTGAAAATCTTATCGAAGAATTTCGATTAATTGAAACTTTTTTGCAAGCCTGAAAAAATTAGGAATAATTTTAAATTTCTTTGATAGTATGTATTTTGCTTCCACTAAAATGAAACTAAAAATTATTATTTCCTTTCATTAATAAATTCTTAATAAAAAGAAAACTATCAATTCATTAGTTTAATGTTCATTTCCTATGGTACCAACGAACTTCTGTGATGATAGTTGCATGTTAAGAAATATTGGAATCAATTTAATTTCCATCCATTTCCATTCATTTATTAATTTACCACATAATGGAATTACTGCTCCTAATAATCTCAATGGTACTTTGTTAACCTGCATAAATAAGAGAAATTGAAGCAAAAAAACATCGAAATTAAAATGCTAGAAATGATAGTTTGCATTAAGAAGTATAAACAAAACAAAAAATTTCAACATTTTTCTAATAAAATAAATAAGTTAAAATTTAAAAAAATTTAATGCTTAAAAAATTTAATGTTGAAAGACTGTATATTGAAATTATTGTATATTGGAATTACTGTATATTGAAATCCATTACTGCTATAATGAAATTTTTTAACAAAAATAAAACAAACTTTTTTATCATATATATAATAAATGTATAAAATAATACATTAAAAAATTTTATTGATTAGTTAAATTTAATTACAAACAAATAATATACTGAATAAAACATAGAAATTTGCGAAAACAATTTCTAAGATCAAAAATTTACCTTCAATGAATTTATTTCTTCAATTGATAAATTATCTTTTAAGCATCTTTTTCGAGACGTTTTATTTCGTGATATGTTGTTAAATAATTGTTGTTGCTGTTGTTGTCGCTGTTGTTGTTGTTGTTGTTGTTGTTGTTGTTGTTTTCGTTTTTCATGAAGTCGAGAGCAAATTTCATCCAATTTTTTCATATTTTTGGAAGCGTTCAGCTAAAAAGTCAATTTTAATGGTTAGTTACGGGAAAAAGCATTCTCTTGTTATTTTATGGTTTCCAAGACATCATCCAACCATTTTTTACCATTTAATAATATCATATAAATCATTTTTTTTAACTTCAACAACTAATCATTAAAAGTAAAAAGCAAAAAAATGAAAAATAAACTATTCCATGGAAATATATTTGTATTAATTTATTAACTTATTTAATTATTCATATATTTATTTAATTATTTATCCTTTTTTTGCTATTTCATTTTTCTTCTTTTTAGCTGAACGAACATAAAGCAATATTACTACTAATACTATCATATCATTATTATCATTACTGTCATTGTTATTATCATCATTTTGGTTTAATGAAATATATCACTCAAAGATGATAATATCATATTAATATCGCAATTTTCATTCAGTAAAAATAGTAAGCAAAAGTTAAGAAACAAAAATAAAAATTTAAAAACTATAATTTCTACACAAGTTTTTCTTTAAACACCGAATGAGTGAATGATATATATATAGATATCTACATATGTAGATATAGATATAGTAGTGCAGCGATGTTATGCAATGAACAATTTAAGATTTCATTTTCTCTTTTAATTTTTTGTTTTATTTGCATTAATTAATTACAAAAAGTGTAAAAATTAAATTTAAAGAAAAAAACAATAATTATTGTCGATTGATTAATATACATTTTATGCATAATATATCATAAAAAGATCTATCACGATTGATTATTTAATTTGCTCTGTCATTTAAATTATAAATTAAATGAATTCACTAGAAATTAATTATTTTAATAGAAATCATTAATTAATGAGAAAGTAAGAAAACAGTTTGTCATTTTCTTTTCTTTTTTGGTTTAAAAATAAGAAATGATTCTAAAATTCAGTTAAAACGTAAAATACACACAAAATATTAATTCATATAAGCAAATATAAAGCAGTAAAGACTTTTAACCCTTTAACACATTATAATTTATTCATTTAAAAATAGCATAATGTGAAAGAATTCATTTATCAAACAAATATTAAAACTTGTTATGAAAAGATTATAATTGCAAAAATAGCCATTATTTAAACCAAATAATAATCCGAATACTATTTAAGCCTAATAATAATCCAAATATTATTTAGTCCAATAATAATCTAAATATTATTCAGTCCAATAATAATCCAAATATTATTCAGTCCAATAATAATCTAAGTATTATTCAGTCCAATAATAATCCAAATATTATTCAGTCCAATAATAATCCAAATTTTATTTAGCCAAATAATAATCGAAATATTCAGTCCAATAATAATCCAAATATTATTTAGTCAAGTAATAATCCTAATATTATTTAGCCAAATAATAATCCAAATATTCAGTTCAATGATAATCCAAATATCATTTAGCCAAGTAATAATTCAAATATTATTTCGTCAAGTAATAATTCAAAATAATAAATTCACATCCTTTAAAAGATATTTTTACAATCAAAATTATCAATAAAATAATTCGACTATTTTAGGTGAAAAAAATTAAATGAAAAATGCTTTGTGTGAAGAAAAAATTGTGGAAAAAACGATGAAAACTTGAAATATGCGAAAAATTCTTACATTTTTCAATTTTCTTTTTCTCACTAAACTAAAAGTACACAACATTATTTGATTTCTTATTATTTTAAAAACAATTGGTTCATTAATCTTAAAAGATATTTTTAGGATAAAATATATTTCAGAGAAGAAAATACTCCCATATGCTACAATAAGAAACCATTCGTATGAGAGATGAAAGGAAAGAAAAAAAGAGAAATGAAAAAATTTTTTGAAATTTCATTAATTCTAATAATAACTATTATTTTTAACTTATATAACAATAATGATTAATTTATTACCATATAAAATATGCAAAGATATTTGATAATATTTCATCTCACACTTCTTTTTCACACTATTTATCATTCGAAAAAATTTTTTAATTAAAAAAATATATTGAAATCTAAAACAAAACAAAATAATCTTAAAATAAAATTTCATCTGCTGATTCATTCATTTCAATGATTCATAATTTCAGTGTTTCTCGTTGAATACTGTCATGTTTAAAATCGTTAAATACTATCATGTTAGAAGAAAAAAAGATTGAAAATATGCTACAATAGCATATTGTTTATCAAATGAATTAGAAGTATATATTTTCAACACTACAACAAATAATTGATAATTACTAATCAGAGAAATCTGATAGTAAATGTATGGGATGAATCGCCAAATAATTATATCACTATTTGTAATGATAGATTATATGAAATAACGTAGAATTAATTAATCAATCCTAGAAAATTTCCTCCTAAATTAATTACAAACATTATGATGTGATGAAAAAAAATTCACACTTGCGCTATTTTGAAAAGGCAATTAATCTGAAGAAGCATTAGGGTTAAACTTTATTTTATGGTTTTTAAAATCAAATTATGTTTACAATTTCAATATAGCCAACATTTGGAGTTGTGTAAAATAATATTAAAAGAGATATGAGAGAGAGAGGGAGAGAAAAAAAGGGTTGGAGAGGAAAAGAAAAAGTGAAAGGGTTAGATAATGCTCAGTTTTGCTTTACGGCTTTTTCAAATTTCCTCTTATATTGAACGAACTATTATTAGAAACATATCAGTGGGACTGTGTAATATGAAATCAATGAGTAAATAATAAACTTTTGTTAGTTTGATGTAAATTGTATTTTACTTTTTTTGCTAATTATATTAAATAATATTAAAAAGAACTTACTGTAAATGGTTGATGACAGATATCATTTCTGTTTTATAAATTATTGTAATTAAAATCAGAAATTGATATAGAATGATAAAAAAGCAAGATTTCAACGATAAACATTGTGTACAGTATATACAACAGTATATATATTTCTTTTTAAAATTGACGAACAATTGAATTGAAATAATAATTGGAAAATAAATAGGAACATCTTGAAGAATGTAATTCAAATGATAGTAAGAAGAAATTATAAATTAAGTGATTAACTGTGAAACGATATCACGAAAGATTATGAAGTGTGTCAGATATGAATGATGTTGTATCGTTTAAAAAATTTAAATAACATGAGTGATTTCATTCATGTTATTTAAATCTAAAGGAAAAGAAAGCGTTTGATATTTGGGAAGAAAACGAAAATTATCTGATCGGACAATGCAATATATTTTTCTGATCATTTCATTTCAATATCTTTTTACGATTGTCTAATTATTCGTAGAAAACATCAAGTTTGATAGTTTCAGCAAATCAGCAAAAAACTGTTTAAAAGAATTTAGATATGATGTGAGTTGTTTAACTGAATCTAATCTAGTTGACAAGCAAAAAGTTGGTAATATATACGCCTTAAGCTTTTGGCAAAGTTTTTTACCTATACTTTAATGCTTATTAATTAATTTTACATTCTGCTAGAAACATAACGAATTTGGATATGATGTGAGCCATAGAAGGAATTTGCATAATTTATTTTACAAAATGCATCAAACATAGCAAATCTAAGCCATCTATAAAATGTTGAATTTAAAAATACCGATGGATATAATAAAAAGACAATTATAAGGAAATTGGTAAAAATACAACAATATCTTCATTGAATTTTGAAACGATCATTTTTAAATTCTGACTCATAGCAGAATGCTAACGTTCAACATCTTATACTGATTTAACAAGATGTCTTTAGAAGCATTAAAAAATTCTATCAATATGTATTTCAATGTATATATCAATGTATATTTTTGAAAATTAAATAGCGAAAGTTAATAAAATTACTTTTATCAGTCATGTATGCTTCACATATAGTTATTGTATCACCGAAATACAATTATCTCACAGTAAGAAAAAAGAGAAGCCAATAAAATTCACTAAATTGAAAAAGTAAACATAAAATATGCTTATTATTAGAAGGAGAATAGTCGGCTTGTAATGAACCATAATTGACTAAAGAAAAAATAAGTTATCGGACAAACTTGTTTATTCTGGCCACTCGAAAAATGCCATCTTTATGTACCTTTTGAACTTCATTAATAACCTATAAACTTCGAATATTATTTTCGTCTTCTAAATCATAATTAATGTCATCTAATTGAAGGGAAAATCAAATTTAAGTGCTACTAATTTAAATGTAATGAGTATGGATTAAAGTTTAAATAGTGTCCTTTCTTTTCATTCTATTGTAGACTTTTATTGGCAACGTTATCATCACATTTGAATTTCCCTTATTCTAAGGCAGTTTCAAAATTTTTTTGCTCTCGATAACGTTAGATGGTTCATTATAGAAGATTTTTTTCGAAAAAGGACCCGTACTATCCGTCCTCCTCTTGTAAAGAATGTATAATGAATGCCAACTACAATATGTCATTTCCCATAAAAATTCATGTTAATTACGAAAGATGCCAAATTTCAACAATTTGAGCAAAATTTTTAAGAGGTGAGGAGAGGAAGCATTTTGTGATGATTAATGATTGGATTGTTATTATCACGATATTTGAGAAACAAATTTATAACTAACAAAAGTAGCAGAATTATTGAGATAAGACTTACCAGAGCTAGAAGACTGACGAAGAGTTGGAAAAAAAACTCGCAACAGAGTCCAGGCAATCAATGCTTACACGAATGACAATTTATCAGCGAATTGAAGTAACAATTTAAATTTTCGGTTGATAAAATTCCGGGAACAAATTGAGCAATGCAAGATGAAGCATTCCAGCAGTTAAACCCCAAATACGGTATTCATTTTGCGGTGCTACATTTGTAGCAAGAATGTAATGACGTGAGGTGAGAAAAACCGGTAACTTGTACTGTATACCACCTGCAACGTAACAAACGATGTTACTTATGATATCAAAAATTTGTCTTTATTAATTTGATAATTTACTTGTAACAAACAATGTCGTACTCGTACTATCCTTGCTTCTCCTACTAAGCATAAATTAATTCGCCCAATACTTGTATAACCTAATTAAATTTTGTCGAACACTACCAATAATACACTGCTTTAAAAACTACCAGCCTATTGAAAGCATCTAATTAACACTCCTTATAACTAAATTAGTTATGTAAAAAAATTAATGTCTTGCTTCATTTTGGTTTTAAACGGATCTTTCGAACAAACAGTTCATGATCAACCTCTTCTGAAATGTGTATAACGATGTTTGATGCAAAGTTCTTCAATTGGTGCAGCGAAGACGGTTTGAACTTCATCATATTTTGCTTTGATCGTACTGAAATCGGTAGAATCTTGTACCAAACCAACAATTGGCGTTACAGTACCTACAGGATTACGTGTTGTTATATCCTGTAAGCGACCCCAAACTTGAACTTGATAAGAATATAAGCCAAATTCTTCTGCACTTTCGCGTAATGCTGCCTGAAAATATCCTTACGTGAAAGGACCTTTAATGTTTACAAATTCATGTATCAACAACGCCATAATATATCAGCGTCTTGAAAGTACGTACAAAACAACTAATGGACCGCACACCGGTTTATATTAGAAATGATGAAAGAACAACGTTTAGTAAACAAACCTGCTCATAAGTTTCGCCTTGTTCCAAGCGTCCACCTGGAAAGCTCACCTCACCACGATGATTAGCTAATAGCAGTGATCGATGGGTGAATATTATTGATGGGGATTTTTTGATATATACCAGTGGGATCAGTACCGCACTATCTCTTTTCTTACTAGATGATTGGTGAACCGGAGAAGGTGGATGGATAGGATCCATCGACTGATGTTTGAGACGTTCACAAAATCGTTCACGTAAACTGTTGTCAAGTACAATCCGACATGCTGTTGCTGATGACCACCGTTTTGATATTTCACACATTTTTACTCATGCATGGTAAACACGAAACAAAAACTGCAAATTGTCTTTTCGAGCTACATCACAAATTCCTCGTTCAAATTTTCCACAAAATCAGGTTGCTTAATATATACACCGATAATACTCGTGGATAACTGCAAGAGAAAAATCGGCTTAACCAATTGGGATAGAGACAAGAACCGAAAGTACCAATCGAAGATATGAGTCAATTGGTACCAATGATCAAGCTACAAATATTATTTTTATGATGTACATTAGGTGCATAATAGCGATCTTTCAAACATTAAGATTTAGCAATGATATTTCCATGAAATGTACCTTCGGCAATTAAACTGCTTGATACATAAAGATAATTATGGGATTATCCTTCGCCTTTTGAACCTACCCACACATTTATGACTGTTCAGACACTGTCCGTCATTATTTCATCGCTCCCTCCCCAGACTCTGATAATGCTGTCGGATTTTTTCTATGGAGAGATAAACCATTAGCCAGCTGCAATTGTCTTTGAACTATATCAGTGAAAAAAGAAATGTATTTCATAGATAGGAAATGATCTGCGGTACTTATTTCCAGTCGAATGATGCCATACCACTTATAAAACTAAAATTTATCGATATAAGAACATGGTAATGTAATGCACAGCTATCTAAAAAAGGGAAAGACTGGACACAAGTTGATTTCATGCTGAATCTTTTCGTCTTCGTAAAGTTTTCATCCCATCCTGATCTTTGTTAAGAGAACTTCAGTCTCAGCTACAGGTTATCAACATAACAGAAAACAAGAAAAAAAATGAGAAAGCGCAGGATATATAAGTGAAGCAGACAAAGAACACCAACCAAACCTTAAAACAACAAAAAGCTAATAGTAAAAATTTACTTTTAAATAAAAGGAGAACTGTTAGAATTCAACGCAAAAAATCATTAGAATATTCACAAATAAATACAGTTGCAGCTCCTAAACATCAAAAGCTATAAACTATTAACGCTCTATTTCGTCGATGCAGCTCTCATCACCTTGAATATTCATGTCATGAACCTAAAACATTCAACTCCAATGGAATCTTTCGAACTCCTTTACAGTTTTTGAAGCTCTTTTGGACAGTGATCTAAGAGCAAAGTGAGAAAATGGTGAAAGAAAAATTTTGGCTTATAAGGGAACAGCTATAATTAACTTTTCAGCCTTTTTTTTAAAGAGTGAAAAAATAATGTGCTGTATTAAAAGGGTTATTACAGAAAATGTTTCAAGTAGGCGGTACACCGGTGAACGAAACTTCACTATAAAGTGACGGAGAATTCATCGAAAAGAAGGCTAAAGCAAGCATCAAGCATAAAACTGCAGCCAGCAAACTGAAAACAAACATAATAAGCTTAATAAAATATTAAAGTCAAAGGTTTCTTCGTCCCATTCTTTTCCAGTAAAACTTTGAAAATCAAAACATGGAAGCAATAAAATTCAAAATATAGAAAATTCCTGTAAAGTTAAAACAATTGCGGTATTTCATGAATAAAATTAATACATGTTGATAGATAACTATTAGAGACGCCCATATGCAATCAGTAGGATGCATGTTTTTGTTGTCTATACACCAGGTATCAAGCAAAAGTCTAACTAATAAACAAAAACCACAATTTAAAAAAAACTCATCCAAAGAATACTCTTTCAGTAAGTAGGGTAACTGAAAAACCACCAAACTCTACTTGAATACTTCATTCGATCGGTAGGCAAGTTTTAATTCTACAATGCTTTTTATACAGATGTTTGGGAAATTCAAAACCAATAATAAATCAGAAATTCCAGCATTCGCTGTGAACAAAGCTAACGAATCATGAACAAATCAGAAAGACATGAAGGAATGTCGCATAACAGTGTGTAGCGAATATCTTAATGCGCCAGTTATTTTCATAATCGACTGTAACAAATCGGAACTGTCACGAAAAAAGCAAAGAGAGGATAGGGTATCACCTCATAATATTGAAATTACTACATTGTCGTTGCCGTGTCAAGAAGCTTTTTTCGTCGGAATGTTCCCTGACTGAAGAATTTTGCTGCTGTAGTTGCATCATCTGAAAATCAATCTTTATGAACGCTCCAAAATGACTTTATAACTTTAGAATAAACACAAGAATAAGAAGAGTGAAAAAGAGATAAGGTGAAGCGCATGGGAAAGTAAAAAAAAGCAACTATAATGTCGACCGATCTAGTTTGAGATTACCTCCTTAGCCGATATAGAAACTTTTTGGACAGATCACTCCGACTAACATAAATTAATTTCCCGATTAATTTTGCTAGAGATACCTCTTGTAATCAATGTCATCTTTCCGACCAATTTGTTTGTAGTCATTTTTCCGATCATCACAGTACGGAATAATTTTTTCTGTACGTTTAGGATACTTCTACATTCATCGTAATTTAAAGCTATTTTAATAGTTGATGAAATCGAAGATCGATTTTTGGTTCAAACTAAAAGAACGCAATATTATCGATCGATTAGTCCTCTCTTCTCTTCCCGCTTCAATTACCAAAATTATCATATGGCTGCTGTTAAACCTTAGAAAATGGATAAATTCTAGAGTCGGCAAATGCTTATTGTCAAAGGCACGATATACCATATAATAAGCATGAGTTGTAAACAGTCGCTGTTCTTCTTCCTGCATCGTACGGCTACGTTCATGACTTTCTTTCAGTGTTTCAATCTATAAAATGAACAAAGTATTACTTTTAGCATTCCCTCAATCCTGAAATAGTGTTTAATGACATAATACTTCATATTTTATATATTCCGTTCAGTTTCTCCGTCGACCTTTCTTTTGTCATTTCAACTTCATATGCAGACATGAATTTGTTATATTCTCTCCATAAATACAAGAATTTTTTAACATCGAAAGAGTTACATTTTGTTTGTATACGTCCCTTTCACGACGAATTGAATCAAATTCATGCCTGCTCAGTGCACCACCTTCAACAGCCTGATTCTGTTCTTCCAAATCTTCAATCATACGGCGTGCTTTTTCCATATAATGCGTCAACCTGTCTTTTTCATCCTTCACTTGTTGCTTTGACAATGCCAATTCTTCTAAAATTGATAAAAACGAAATACAATCCACGCTTTTTTTCATGTTTTATTTTAAAAAATTAAAAGTGACAGTAAAATGAAAAAAGATATTTTCCCTCAAATTTCGAGTTTAAATATTAAATATTAATATTTATTAACACTAAACCTAAAGTAATCTCGACAGTTCTCTATATCCCCTACAAAAGAAAAATCCTAACCACTTAATGCTTTCTTATCAGCCATCTGTTGTTCCAGATCATACGTTGCTTGTTTGAGTCTCGCTTCAAGCTGTGCTATTTGAATAACCATCCGTTCATTTGCTGTCTGCTCCTCTGTCAACCGATTACTGTTCACATAGTTACCGGATTCAATTATAGCGTTTAATTCTTCCAATCTTGAAAACGAATATGGGTTGTTGAGAAATTGGTGCATTTGAAATATTGCCATCTTATTAAGTGAACCGAAAAAGGATGTGAAAATCGCTGACAAGCAATGGTTACTATTCCCAGTTGGAATTCACTGATTTGCGAATCTTTCATTTTTATGTTTTGTACTTGCATTTCTTGGACAAAATGACAATCCAATAAAGTATAACAAGAACCCCTGTTGAAAAGAAAAAAATGTTTTAATAGTTAGTAGACTATTAACCGTTTCTCCAACTCATCCCTTTTATTTTGCGCCAATTTGAGCTCCGTTTCCAAAGTTGTTTTCTGAAGAGACAATGAACTAATTTCTTTCATCAAACTCTGCTTTTTGTCATCCGTCATACTTTCAGCTAGCAAACGTTCTTTTTCCGCTTCCAACCGAATGATTCGTTCCCTGGAAAAGTTTCATTTTTAGACTTTTTATACGCTGTACATATATGCATTAAGTCATACTTATTTCAGTTACACATTAACAACAGTTAGAACGATCACAAAAGTCTTATTTTTTATTCGAAAATAACCTCAAATGAGCGGTTGAATTAGCGTCAATTGTTTCATCGTGCAATGACGGTGCACTACTCCCATTTTCTGAAATAATTTCTTGAAACAGCTATGAAATCAATTGCCATGTTCAGATAAAAAGAAAAGTTCACTATACAAACATTTCTTTTACCCACCATGAAAAAGGAGTTGTTGACTGAGTTCATGTCGTTCCTGCCGAAGATACTCGTTTTCCTTTTCAATTTCACTAATTCGTTCATTTAATTTTCCGAACTCGAATTCAGCCTGAAATGATAAACTGTTCAGGATATTTTGAATCTTTAATAATGACGAAGTGAAAGGAGCCGGACCATAATTGACAAGGAATCTATCATAAGCAATCAATTTATTGCTTCTTACTAGTAAGAAACAATCATTTAGTCTCATATAGTAAATTCACTTTGACCTTATCAGCTCGTCTAATTTCACCATTCAGTCTTATTCCCAACTCCGAATTCTCCAATCGCAACGATTCGATCTGAGTCTTCAGCACACCATTTTTACGTTGTTCATCCTCGAGCGCTATGACACTTTTCATGTATGTAGCGACTTTATCTTCTAGTACTTTTACTTCAATTTTTTGTGTCTTCCATTCTTCTAAAGAAGAAATCAGTTGATAATATTTTTCCTTTGTTGTTTCTTCCTATCGATACTAATGCAACTTTATTTTTCAATGTTTATATATGTTTCAATAAAAATGTTATGCAGAATCAGATTTTCAAGATTTTCCCTCATAAATTTATCACGGTGAAGTAATACTAGTAGAAATATAATGCTTGAGATTTTCGAAAACTTCAAACAAGATCTCCAGATAATCTTAGATATCAGAAGTTCAAATATTACGCAAACCATATCATTAAAAGAAACAAGAAACAAAGCAAATAAACCGCAAATAGCATGAAACTCATTCGCAAAAAAATATCCTTAATATTTTTCCACATACCATTTTCATTTCAGTTAGTCACAGACTTAATTTGCCGTACAAATAAATGGAAATTTACTCAGTTTGGTTTTGTAGTTAATGATTTGCGTGTCAAGCTTTTCATACTTCTGCACAAGAAGTCGATGTTCTTCGAGTTCATCCTTCAGTCGCTTGAATTCTGCCTCCATTGGCGCCATATCTTGGATCTAAAAACAAAATCTCATGAAGATTAAACAAACAAGAGTTTGGCAAAACAGAAATCTTTATAACTCATGAACAATACTAATCGATCAAAATGAACCTTTGTTCGAAATTCCTCATTTTCATCAAGTAACTGCAGATTTAATTTTTTCAGATGATCACGTTCAGCTTCAGCTCTGCAAGTGCACCAAATATTTGAAAAAAGTTATAAAGCTGACGATGATTTGAGTTAGAATAACAAATGCCTAATATACTTGAAGTTTTCAAAGATAGACTATTACTTATAAAGTGCATCCTGAGTGCTTTCACGAACGGAACGCAATGAACGAATCTGTTTCCGTAACGACTCTATTTCAACAGATACTTCGTTTAATTCATCAACGCGTAGTCTCAAACTTTCATTGTCACTAGACAGTGCCTCCCTTTCGGTACATGCTTCTTTCAACTAAATTAAATCTTTGAATATTAGAGCGTTTTTTTTTCTCAAGTTGAAAATATTTTTTAAAGTAATGCCAAGATTTCATTTGAGTATCCGATTAGGGCATTACGTACTAGAATTAAAGCCTTAATCTGATTTGCGAAAAAAACACTCTAAATAAATAAATAAATTACATATATATATGAATTTATCTCTTCATTTAGATATCCCATATATAGATAGAAGAACCTTTTCGTTAAGCTGCGTGCATTCCTGCTTCAAACTTTCTACCTTAACCTCCAAATTGACCACCTGTTCTTTCGATTCTATCGGTTCGGAGCTCTAAAAGCATGATTTTAAGAAATTTATTTTCTATATAGCAACCCTTCAACATATTTTCATGCATGTTTAGTAGATCCTCACAAATTTTGAAAAACGAAATATGTAAACAAATAGCTTAAAAAAATTACCGACGTCTCAGCTGTTTTTACTTTTTCTTCTGATGGCTCCGTCACTAATTCCTTAATTTCCCTCATGATATTCATAGCTGTCCTTTGCACAGATTCCCTTTGACCCATTAAAAGACGTATAAATTCTAAAACAAAATTCGGAATTTGAGCAGCTAGAAACTCGATGTGATGAAAGCAATGAAATTCTTTGGAAGTTCTCCTTTTCTCCTACTTCAATATTCAAATTTAAATATGTTTTGTTGTTGTATCATCACACAAAACATTACTTTCATTATTTGCACAAAGTAGTGCAGCTCCAAGGACAAGTTGCAATAATCGACATAACAGTTCCGAATCACCATGTTCCGCTGTAACATTTTCATTTCAATATTTAATGCTTCTAATTCTTTCATCATGCACTTTCGTAGTCTGCTTCTCTCCAAAAATAATGCAAATCAAGACTTTTGAATAGCAGAAAGTATATTGAGGGATTATTAAATGCCATCAGAATTTCAAAAAAGTAGTACTCTCGAATCATAATCATTACTAATGGAATCAAACGAAGACAAACTGACATGCATTTCCCATACCAAAAAATAACATATAAATAAATTTTCCTAACTTCACCTATCCGCGATGTGTCAATAAGCCATTCTGGTGTTAACTCCGCTCCTAATTGATCTGTGTAGTATTCCGACAATCGACGATAAATTTTTCGTAAATTATTTGCTTTCAACCTCCAGTTAGCCATTTGATCGTAATGTGATATTTTACTCAGCCAATTCTCATTAAAAAATAATGGATCGCTGTAAAAACTGATGTTATAATTACTGCAGAAATTTCTAAAATGATGCAACCATGTTATTTCCAGATAAAAAACTCAGATGTCGAACTTTCGAACTTTCTCTTATCTTACAGTCCATGAGATTCAATCAATGCTCCGCACTTCCAATGCTCCTAGTGATGAATCTCATTAGCCTGATAGAAATCTCTGTCGTCAAACATTTCTCAGATAAAAACTCATACTATTTGGTTAAAACCGAATAAGCACATACAACCCCAGTACATAACACTAATTATTCCCTTGTCTCAGATATTAGAAATAATTTTTCTTCAAGTTATTTCGAAAACCATCATTATTAGTCATGCAGTTGGTAAAAATCCGCAAGAAAGGATAATTGATTTATTCAACTTTAAGCTGAAAAATTCAAAAAATAATCAAAAAAGAGTTCATGAGAAAAGAACAAACATCTTGTATAATGTTTCTGCGATGTTTCGACCCGAAAAAACATCAATCAACTTCACTTCCTCCTCATCATCCAGTGAATTCATCTATAAAAAATGATTAAACTAAATGATTCGGTAAGCAGCTTATGCTTGATGATCTGATTAAAGAGAAACCCATTTTTTGACTGAGAAAAATATCTTTTGGTACACATTTCACATTCTGTGATCGAGATATACTATCAGCTGTTAAAAATTCAACGAAGAAGCAGAAGGTTCCTGCTTAGCTATAATTCGAAAGTATTGAATATAATAATAAATATGAAATTTTCTGGTGTTTAATTCTCATTTTTTGAATGATGAAAGTGAGCTGCTCATTTTTCTCCCATCCAAATTTATACGATGAGTAATGCTAGGCATTATTTCCCCAGAGTTTCTGGAAGCACAGAAAAATGCTGAGTTGTTCTTTAATACAAAACAATGCTCTAATACAATTAATATTTCTGTTCACTATCTAGTTGAGTATTGATCACATCGAACTACCCAAAAATGCATTTTGATTTTCTTTCAGTTAGTTAATTTTAGTAACAAAAAAATAGATAACACACCCATGTGATGAGATCATCCAAACATGCACTCATTTCATTTGCTCTAGAAATGCACTATCTGAAAATTGAACAACAAAGAATTTCACTATATGGTCGGGAAATGATCATCGATTTGTCAATATTTCACATGTAACGTTAAGATCTCCGAATAAGAAGACCATATTATATTATTATATAGAATATCCTTTTCTGGTATAGTCTTACGTCTCTACACGTAGAACAAGCACCTATCCGAAGCACTCAGAGAAAAAAACAGTACCAACCATTAATAGTCCTTTATAATTTCGATTATACAAGAATATCTTACTCCCTTTCTTTTGCATTCGAACTCCCCAATTTTCTCCATATCACTCTTCCTATTACATACCACTGATATCAACCTCCCAATCCCCAACACTGTACTCTATGAAAGTTCTATAACCATCCTACCATAACGAATGATTTTATTTTACGCGGGCTCGCTATGAAGCAATTCTGTCCTATAGCAGAATAAACATTAGAATTATATACTTGTATAATTTTCGGAATAAATTAGTCAATAAAGCAGCAAAATTTTTTCTTCGAAAGGGAGCAAATCATTTAATTAAATACTAAAACAAAAATGATATTATTCATAAATTCTTTAATAAAACTCAAAAATAAATATAAGCTTAAAAAAAAATCCAACATAAGGTAAAGTACCATAATAAAAATTAAACTGAAAATGAAATGAAAGTAACTTTAAAACAATAAATAAACGGATTTTCTAACAAAATAAAATATTAAAATGAAAAAAAGTTAAATTTGAAGCGAACAAACAATGATAATTAGTTTATTAGATTAATTAATCAGAAAATATTTAATAACTAATTTTTATTTTACATCACTTTTTGTAAAATTTTTGCAAATTTCAACTATGAAAGCGATTTGAAGTATTACTTTTTTTTAATTAGCAATCGAAAACTTTTGTATAAAATGGAATTAATCAATAATGATGAAAAAATTTGCTAACTTTATTATTTCAAACTTAACATTCGAGCTGCAAACTTTGATTACAAGCTTCAAACTTTTCAAACCTATTGTTTCAAATTAACTTTATTTCAAACTGCTTCAAAGTTCGAATTTCAAACTTATTTTTTCAAACTTCAAACTTTATTGCATTCAAAAATTTAATAGTAATTATCGTTAACAAAATATGGTTCAAGTATTTAATAACAAACTAATTAAATGACTAATTAATACCGAATGAATAATATGTATACTTTAATAGCAATAATTATTGAATCATCAAATATTTTCACTCAAAATTTTTTCTTAACAAAAGTTTAAATCAATATATTATCAGTTAAAGAATAAGAGGACATGAAATTATTTTAATCTATGCCTTTAATTATATCAAATTTTCTGTTTGTTTTTTATAACTATTTCAAAATTATATTATTTCAGTGATGTGACATTGATAATGTTAGCTCATTTGCAGCATTTATGCAATTTAAATATATCATAGCAATCAATATTACATCGCAAAACTTCCATCACTTGCATAATTGATTTTATTTAATATAACTTTAATGATTAATTTTTTTAATTAGAATTTAATTTGAAAATTTTTTATATTATGATAATGTATTTTGTTAATATTTGATCTTTTTTTTTTGATCCATCGTGTGATACGGTGTAACAATTAAAAGAAATGATTGTTAATGAGATAAATATCGCTCATCTCAATTTGAATTACGGTAATCATCTTAATTTGAGTTACGGTAATCATCTCAATTTGAATTACGGGATTTTTATATTGCTTCTTTAATTATTAATTTTTCTCTTATTTTTTTTACTATACTTTAAACATCTATCGATTTATTTGAGGAAATGGTATCTTTTTTGGAAGTTATTTATTTCTCAACAATTAGCAACAACAAAACTTTCTAGAACATTGCGAGGGAAAGTGCGCAAATGTTCGGTTAAAATATTTAAAATTATCACTCATTGACGTATCTTTGTTATCATGATAATGAAATTAATATGATATGTGATAAGTAATACTAAAGAATTTAATAAATATCAAGAGTATAAATGGACAATATTGCCGAAATGTTAAAAAATGCCATTTAAAGTAAATGGCAAATAATCAAAGTTTTGGCGATATTTACTTATAAATGAATAACATTAAAATCGTTGCAAAATATCACCGAAATAATTAACAAATATTCTTGAAATAATAAATATTATCAAAATACTTGTCAAATTATTAAGTAACAATATTATTGGAATAATTGAAAAATAATAATTAAAATAATTGGTAAATATGATTGGTATAAATGGATATGATAAAAATAAGTATGATAAATATGTAAATATTATCAGAGGTTGAATCAAATCACTTTTTGATAGATTTTCTATGATAGCTTGTCAGAAGATGAATCAAATCACTAATCAGATAATGTCATCAGAATAGAGCAAAGATGTATACTACGATGAGCAATACTTAAATGACAGATTATTAATGAAAAATTTATCTCTTATGTTTAATCTTTCAAAAGTGTATGAATGATTTTCTCATAATTTGTTCCATATTTCAATTAAATTACTAAAAAAAAATTGAAACCGTATTAACATTAGCAAGAAAAACTAACTGTCAATAATTTGGTAAGCTTTACAACATCAAAAAAAAAGAATTTATTTTAAAATAGTTTAAAATTTCTTTGCCTTAATAGAAAAATTTTACTCGGATATTTGATGTTTCTATGACAGTTTATTAGGGGGATGAATCAGATCATTGTAAGATCGAGAATGGTAGCTTGCTATGAAATCAAAATGGTGCAAATTTACCGGGTATGTGGTTGATTTTCCGGTTGCCGGCGAAAGAGATTATACTGATTCGCGATTTGTTATTGAAATGGTTAGTTATTGTTCAAGATCCTGACAATATCCTGACGAAACAATGGATGAGTTCATTTTTGAATTTAGAATATAATTTAGTTATTGAAGTATATATTTATAGGAACCTATGGCATGGCTGAACCTCATTAAAACATTGGAAATTTAATTTCTTTTTTTCGAAAATTTTAAATTGCTACAATTATGTTACGATATGGCTATCATTTGTATTATTGTTTGCGGGAATTCTGGGTATAAATAACTGGAATGATTAAACCAATTGGACAAAAGATATTGGTCATTTAAATTAACCGGTGGTTAAACTAAATAATCTTTTAATTTGATCAAATTATTTTGGATAGTTTAGAATATCTCTATGTTTTTTTATTTTGACATTTGACCACTTGTTTGTAAATTTACATAATCAAGATTGAGTTTATCAGAAATGCATTTTTTCATTTCAATGGTTATACTCTGTCAAGAAAAAAAGTTTTAATAATTTGATGACTGTATTCGAAATCAAAATAAAAGTTTGTTAAAACTGAAAACAGAAACAAACACTGAAATTACTTAACGATCGGTGCTAACTTTCGGAAATTAAAATTTTAACAAAATATTTGATATTATTTGATTTCGGAGCTCTAACTACCCGTATCCATTCATGCCATGTATTGTTAATCGTAATATCATATAGCAGCTTAATTTATAATGTATTGTTTATCCATTATATTTTGAAGGTTCATTTTAAAATTAAGTGATCAATTATTTTCTTCTAATAATGAAAAGGAAATTTGTCAAATTTTTATGAATATTTGAAATTACAAAAATTAAATGAATTAACTACTCAAAGGTGTGTATAAAAGTTTTTTGCTAATTTTTCATGCTACCATTATACATATATTATACATATACCATTATACATCATACATTATACATGTTACCATTATGCATTATACATATATATTATAGGAAGTAAATGCCTAATGTCGCTGAAATTTTACGAATTTCCCTCTATCCTATCTTTATTACTGTGTAGTGACTTCAAATATTCAATTTGATTCTTTTTTTTGTTATAAATTGAACTGATCCTGATTATATTGGAAAAATACATACATAAACATATAGTATGAAAGAATGAGAGAGGAAAATGAGAAATCGAAGAGAAAATGGAAATTACAACTTTCCCGCTTCACTCATTTTATACGATCATCATCCATTCTTTTCTTCGACATGCGAAAACCCAAAACATCTTATTAATTACACTTCAATTTCGTTCAAATCTTAATTTAAAAATCTGAAATAAATTTTAACATGAGTCAGGGTGTTTCAAAGTTATCCCACAAAGAATAAAAAAAGTCAGCCAGTTGTCACATTTCACTTATAAAATTAGCAATCACTTCGGCATATCTCATGTCATTAGATGTTGTAAAATTTCCGAAAAACTAACTTCAAGGAAAATTCTTCCAAAAATGTGGAACAAATATACTACAAACTTATTGAAGCATCATTGATAGTGATAAAAAGAATTCTCTTAATGAAATATTTAAATTTCGACTATGAATAATAAACAACATGTGACTAACACTCCCAATTATCTCCTTTTAATTGTAATTAAAGCAATTCCACCTAAAGATATGGTTGAGAGCATCTTAGAGACCAATTTCTTCGTTTTATTTCCATTGAAAATTCACTGAATTCACAAATTATATATAGGAGATCAACATAAATCTTTAATTTAAAAAAAAAAAAATGATGAAGCCGACATGAATAAAAGTATTCTTTTATCATATATTCTAAATATAGACATAATATTCAAATGACACTGATGTTAGTTAAACGGAATCATTTAATTCAAACTTTGTAATTTAAATTACGAATACAAAAAACAAAAACAAATTTGTGAAAGAACCGTCTGAAAGGAAAGGCAAGTATAACATGCGTGATGCTCATCATTGCCACCAGCATTACTTAGTAATATGCAATAAATATACAAATTGAATTAATATGCAAAATTATTATTATATCGCACAATAACGAGTGAAAATGAATAGCATGGCACCATTCATAAATGCAGCCATCTAAATGATTAATTCAAAGTGATAATCGAATAAATGAACAGTTAGGATGATTTGCAATTAATGGTTAGACGAAACAATAAAAAAGAAAGAACTGAGGATGTCGCCAAATTTGAACCATTTGCTACTTTGAAACATTCGGAACGGGTTTTGAGAAGCGCTCAAAAGAAATTTGTGCATTTCAAATGTGCCAACATCCAAATTCTTAATAGTTCCTATACTTGTGATATTCCAATTCCAATAAACCCTATTTCATGAGTCTATTAAAAAGCACAATACAAACTTCTGGTCAAGCAATTAAGATTTTAAATAAAGCAACATACATAAGGTAAATATAATTTTTAATAAGAAGACAATAATATAACAATAATGGCAAAAAAAATATGCCCAACTGATAAATACCTCAGAAATATTAAAAGCTTAAATTATTTTTCGAATAATGAGACCGTCAAATGTGCACGTATAATTAATTCATATAATTTCACAGTACTAGTTGGAAAATAATTTGAATAATAATAAGACGATGACACAAACATATAACAATATAAAGGTATTCAAATATAAGAACATACAAACATAAACACCCATACTCAAACAAACGTGGATATATCCGAAACCTAAAGAAACACTCAAATATGTTGCTGACGCAACAGTACATCAAAATATTTATGGACAAACAAACAACATATAAAATTATTGCACATATGAAATGATACATTCAAATATCTTATGGACATATATCCAAGTTAAATATTTAACTTACTAGATATAAATATATAATAACGAAATGTTTAAACACGTATAAACGCATATAATGATATATAAATATGGACACATATTTATGAAAATTAAAAAAAATATAATAATAGAACGTTCCTTACATTACATGGCATCATTTGCAAAAGCAAAATGTATAAATAAAAATATACTAATAACTGAATATATTTAAGCAAATGTAAGTTGCGTTTGTTGACGACATAAACAATCTGGACAAATCCACTCTGCACATGGTTCTGCAATGATAGCACGAAACGCATCCGATAATAATCCACTACATTCCTAAATTAAAAAAAAGCACAGTCGATTAACTAACAATAAATACTTCTAATTACTTCCAATAATGTAAATGAATGAAGAGGAAAAAAATAAGTGAAAATGAAAAAAAGAAGGTAAAGAGAGATCTAAAACAACAGCATAATAGCACAATTTATTTTTAAGAACAGGCTGTTTCACAATATGTATCATATAATTATAATTCGAGAAAAAGAAGAAAATTGAATTCGCCAGAAATCTTACCTGATGGAAGAAACGCCGACAACCTTCACCATTTGCAGTGCATTGAATACTGGGTTGATCACTCTATAACATTATTATGCTTCATAAAATAATTAAATGTAATAGAGCAGAAACTGAAAATTCGTTTATTAAGCATATATTCCAACAAAGCAACATAACTGAATTTGAAGAAAAAGCGTAAGAATGATAATACATAGTATTAAAATTTACTCTTAGTTCTTCCGTACAGCTTACACAACGTTGTTTGTTACCGGTACTCGTATTCTGGCTACTCGTAGAACCATTTAGCACAGTGAACGAATCACCGCTGGTACTGGCAGTGACAGTATTATTTGTTGTCATATTATTAATAACAGTATCACTACTGCTACCATTGTTCCGTTGAGTCTGAAAATTAGGTCATTTCAACCTGAATGTGATCAAGAAAATTTCAGAACTGAACATAATGCGATGGAAATTTTGCTAATAGGCGCTGAGATATTAAACCATATCATACATAGTCATGTTACAGATCAGAACTATCAAACAGCTGCTGCAAAGAGACTGGTGAATAGAATGCTATGGTGGGATCCAACTGCTCCTCTGATAGATCCAGATTTTCTTCCTTTTTTAGTTCGAAATTTCTAGTTGCGAAATGCACCATCAGCACCTTTACCAAATCTCAATTAGGATTCAGAATTGCACAATCTTCTCAAAGAATGATCCTGGTTAGTCCTCCAAAAAAAAAGAAAAAAACCGAACAGTATAAAGACGATTACTACGGAAAGAACTTTCGTTATTTAATTCATTTGATGAGTCTTCACTACAATTATCCCATTAGACTACATAAGACATTACTTTGTAGTTATTATCGCTCTAACTTAAAAATCAAATCTTGCTGCAGCATAAACTTTTCATTAAAGCACAATTAAAGAATGCGATTATTAATTGACCTGAAAACCATCAACAAAGCCATTTTGCTCGAAACCACCATAACCTCTAGTCATCATCATCGAATTGGCGATCATTTGAGAAGTGGATTGCTGCTGAGGCGGAGCATCTAGAAATGATGTAGATAATCTAGTAAACAAATTTAAATCCAAACTGAGTAAATAGTTCAGACTGATAGGAATTTGAAATCGAATAATTCACCAGTTGCACTTGGTGCTGACGCTATTGGAGGACAGTATGACATTGGCGTACAACTCATACTTGTTGAAGGTCGAACTATAAATAACCAATTTACCGTACAAAATAATTTCACTATATATTTAATTACCTGATTCAAATACATCCCGATTTACCTAGGCACTGAAATACTATTATGTCCATATTGTTTTGCAGGAATGCTTACCAAAAAAGTATAACATGCATTTCAAAGTTAAATAACTGCACTGGATTGAAATTACTTCAGAAATTAGACGAAAATTTTGACAAACCATCAAAATGATCAAATTGCCCCAGTTCGCCTCCTCTCGCAGTTCCATTAGCAGGTGTCATTGATACCATCGCCTGCTGCTGTGCTGGAGCAACATGAGGTGGCATGCCACTACGACTGCCACAAATACCCTGGGACATATAGAAGTCCTGGGATGGAGCTGACATTTGTAGCATCATTCCAGGTACCATTGGTTGCTGTTGTTGTTGTTGTTGCTGCCCGGATGATAAAAGAGACTGTTGTTTCCGTCTTGCTGCCAAAAGCTGCTGTTCATCCATGATGCTAAGGTTCGGCAATGTTGGAGCTCCTTTATTAGCTTTGGATCTGCAAATGGTGTCATTAGCGTACCTCATTAAGGCTTTGCAAAAAAAATCGTACGCATAGCACACATCCAAAGGTTTTTTTTTTTAGCTTGAAACTCACAAACAAACCAACATGCCTTTTATTATTCCCTTTCTTTCCTGTCGTCGCACCAACATTTTGTTGTTGGACCATACCAATGACACCCATAACAGGTCCCATTCTTTCACCATTCATGCCCACCATTCCCATGGCATTTAATTGCGGACCACTGTTCAAAGGTACCATGTTAGAAGTTCCGGGTTCGGGTCTTCCAACTGGCTGCCCTCCAAAATAAGGTTGTCCAGCAGCACCTCCCGGCATACAATATGGACCTGACGGAGCTGTCAGGTATTCGGTGCGCTGCATACAGCCTGAAAAACAATGATAAAATTGGTTACACATCACTTCTTTAATAATGATCAATTATAATTGCAATGAACGATGACAAGGAACAAATCAATCTTCATATGGGAAACACATCGAACCTGTCCTAAATATCACCACAGTTATGTTGTTGAGACAACAATTACTGTCAAAAAATATTTGAACTAAAAATATCTACTTATTTACCGCTAACGTTATTTTTATCGCTATTATCGCTAATTACCACTATTTATACTATCAAAAACTAGAAAAATAAAAACAAGAGTACAAGTAACAAAAACTCTTCATCAAACAATACAATTTAAAACACAAAAATTCATAAAAAGACTTTATTTTTGTTACCAACGTCAGATACATTTTAAAAACCAGTAAGAATTATTTGGTATTTGTCATAATTTAACTTCTCTATAGTATGTCATTTCAATTAAACAGGTAGAAGATACTGTAACTAAAATAAGAAAACATGAAGAAAATTTGATTCCTGAATATAGGAAAACTTAAAGTTATAATTACTTTCTACAGATGACTACACATAATACTTAAATTACTGACGCTGAGATATGAAAACATTTCATTTTAAAGAGGTCTGAAGCATTTTCCATATATGTTTAAAATTGCTAATTTAACTAACTTTTTTTCAAAATGTAGAATTTACACATATGATCGAAAGGAAATATATTGAGATGCTTTTGACTACCAGCATATGTATACTTTTGAAGGCTGCACTCGCAATTACTACTTTAGTTAAAAAATTTTGTTTCGTTTGATTTTAAATACAACTTGAAACCGCTGCTTTAAGCAGATGATATAAGACGAATCAAAAATTTTCATACATTTTGAAAATTCAAAAATCAAGTTGCACAGAACGATTAAAATAGTGGTGATTGCGCTATTCCTTAAGTAGGAAAGAAGAGATTTGGCATACTGAAGTTAAATGAACGACGAAGAAATTACGGTTAAGTCCTCTGTACTTTTTAAATTTTTCCCACGGCCAAAAAAACTATAAGTGTATCGGCAGTATGGAGAGCTACGAAAACTACGTGTAATTTTAGAAGCTGGTTTTTGAAGGCAGCATACCGGTGACGCCTTGTGCGACAAATAAGAGTCCATTATATAATACAGTGGTTATGGAACAGTCTCGTTTAAATGTAAGTTGACTAATCAGAATACAATCATTACCAGGTGGTCCCAACATCTGCTGCGTTGGAGCTGATCCCTGAACACAATATGGATTTCCAAAGCCCTGGGTTAGAATTGGTGCAGGTGCATTACCCATTGACATCGGTGGACAACCTGAAAATACCAGTTAGATGCCAGAATCTGCAGACTCTGAAATTATATTTTTTATTGAGAATAAAAGCGAACAAGCTGTATAAAAACAGAATCAGGCAATAATTTTTGTAAAAAAAAGAGACACTACCTGGTGAAGCATTTCCTTGAGTTCTATTATTTCGTAAAATCCCAAAATTTGCACCACTTCCAACGAGCTGCTGTTGCTGCTGCTGTCGTTGCTGCTGTGGATTCCCGTACATTACTGAATTCTCGATTGGAACAACATTGGGACCAAAAACAGAACCAGATCTTGGACCAAGAAACGCTGAATAAGGTGGTATGAACGAAGGCAACGGTGCTCCGTTACGGAAACTGGCCAAATTCTTATTCGCTGCAATACATGCTCGATATGCCGAGTCAGGATACGGGACGCGAAGATGCCTATAAACAAATATAGTGTGCTCCGGCAAACTTTCGTCTAACCATTAACTAATTAAAATCGAAGCCGTATCACCGATAATCTACGAGATTCCTTTCTCTTTGTTTTTTTTCATCTCAATATACACGTTAAGAAAAAGAAAATGAATAATGGGAAAAATTTATTCATGAATATTCTAACCGAGGTAACTCTAGCTGCCCTCCGGAATCCAAAGGATTTCCAGTGTTGATATATTGCGGTGGTCGCTGATTGAACAACATCATTCGAGTATTCGTGGTATTACAGCGTGTACCGGGCAATTCTTCCTCTTCGAATGGATCACGGATTATTAGGATATCTGGAAAATTTTTCCTTCATAAGTTATATTTTTCATGGTTTCCACCGCTATATCCAGATAGATTACAGCGAAAAGTTGAAAAGTGACATTAAGCAATTCAGCAAACTTGCTAAGATCGTACTTCATCCACGACACATATGAATACGCTGCCATTAATACCATACTAATATGAAATATCTGATTAATTCATTCTTATGTTGCAATGTCCTGATTTTATCCCCGGCAAGATCATACAGAAACAAAAATTTCATACAGAAATTTGTGGAGATTTAATAGTTGAGAAAAGTAAAATTAACCGGCATTTTTACTGACGCAAACTGATGCAACGGTATTATTGGTGCCCGATGCATTAACCAAACCATTCATATTTGTTGTAACAGGTCCAGCAGCACTCGCAGCGACTGTAGTACTTGTAATCGGTATTTGTACGTTTGCACCAGAGGAGCAAGATGATGATGGCCGACCCCGGCTGCTACAACTGGAGGGCCGTCGAACTGATAATGACTGGGAGCCTACAAAATGATTAACAGTATGGTTAATCAACTACCTGAATTAATCTTTCAGCAATACTGTAAGTACAAGATGCTCGCTATTTGAGTCAAAAGATTCAGCAGTAATCGGTATTATACGTTCGTCACAGAGGAGCAAGATGATAGCCAACTCCAATTTTTTTCAAAGAAAACAAGAAAGCTATAAACATTTTAATTCAAGAATCGACAATTGATTAATGATCAAATTTGCGAGATATGCTGTATTGCAAATACGAAATATGGAAATTATTCGTCGATTCTTTCATTGGTGGCGGTAAATTAACAAAACTTAGGAAAATAGCTGCAGATATTATGACCGCGACCTTACCCAAATCAGTAAAAACTGATGCTGTCAAGCTGTCACTAGATATCGTCGCTGTCGAACCAACGGCTTCACAGTTCATATTTTGAGGCGTGATGCTATTAGCTGTTGTTGCCTGTGGTTCAGGTGTTAAATTTTGGTAAAATGACCGTTGTAGTGGATAACTTTGTTGCGGTTGTTGGAGAAAAAAATTTCCGGATGCTGCATCTGCAATTTAATAAGAATAGCTAGGAAAATCAACAAGAAAATGCATATAACACACAGAGCATGCGAATATATGCACACGCCACTTTGAAACTTAAGATTTCATGCTTTTTCTATTGAAACGGTTTAGTAGTTCTGATGTAACTCACAAAGTAAAGCCATAAAAAATTACCACAAGAATTATTCGAAAGTAAACGTCCATTAGCTGACGATACTCCAATGGCAGTTTGCGATTGATAAGCAGAATATGCACTTTGTTGTGATGGATACAATGATACTTGTGACGGCTGACCTGTACAACCCTGCAAAATTTATAAAATTTTACCAAATCTGATACAAGCGAACTGCTAGTTTGAAATTCTTTTAATGATAATTTCACTGCAGTTGGAAAATTATTTAGTTTCGCTAGATACTTCAGTTTCAGATAATGAAGAAGTGATAAGTATCCTCTTAACTGCCATCACTCAAGCACTTCCACAAATATTTTAACATAGAAAGACAACCAATGGATACCAACAGATCTTTCTCGGTTAATATTTTTGAGAACTAAAAAAAAAATATATAGGCCATTTTCACTATGACGCCAAACTATTTGAGCTAAAGCCAAGAAATAATAAGGCTTCTTCTAATAGATATAATAAATGTGAAGTGACTGAGATAGCATCATTTTAGAAGATAATCAAATGAGTAGTAAGCGAAAAGTACGCCAATTCTATAAATAAGGTAATGTTAGTTCAAATATACGCTTTCAAACAAACAAACACACACAAGCACAAAAATAAACTTCGTCCACTCGGTTGCTATAGTAATAGAGCCGTTTTTCCATCTATCCCATACATTATTTTATTTTCATTTGAAATACATCTTATCACTTCCTAAGTCTTAACTGGTTAAAATGGATCGAAATAATTTATCATATTCTTATGATCATATTATTCTTAATTTCTTAATCATTATGACAAGTTTAAGTGATCACGAATTAGATTAATTTTGAAAACATTTAGCAATATTTCGAAATATTTCTCACTTCTTCGGAATATTTCCCTAGTTAAAATTCACATTCACACATAACTTCTAATCATGTATATTTCAGTTCCGCTTTATCTATTACTAATCAATACAATCAATGACGTTTGAAACATGAAAATTGATCAGTTGTTATATCAACTGTTAAACATAGCAGCAACAAGCTACCCGCAAATTGCACTTGCCAAGACTCTTCTTCTCGCTTAGTGCAATCTAATGGAGCGAATTTTTAAGAAGCTTACATTAAGTTTATCATAATTACACACCACTGTTTGACGTCATTCGAGTTTATACGTCATAGAGAACTTATGATCGATAATTTCAATGTATTACATCACAATATTTCAATGTACTGCTTTATATCTTGATCGTAATATCCGTACATTGAAAGGAACAATGTTTAACAATAAAACTTTCTCTTTTATCCCCTCCCCAAAGAAATGATTACAGCGCCAGCTGCTAAAAATCGTCTCCTTCTCAATCTATCTAAATTGGCTAAAAGTTTGTCGGTGATTTACAATTAGCATAGCGGATATGAAAGCGAAGAAAAAAGAGGGAAATGAATCGATGGAAGCAACTCGGGTTGCAATGATTACGATAATAGTTGGTTGAATTTTCTTCGAATTTATTATATATTCAAAAATTTGAAAATATCATGAATAAATAGTTCACTAACCATAGCAATAGCAGTACCCGTTGGCATCATCATCATTGCACCGCCAGTATTACCCGGTGGGCGTACCAATGCTGTCGTAGCGGTGGCCATTAGTTTCTTATACCAATGTAGATTTCAATTTTCAAATAACTTATTGACGAATAAATTTCATTAGTAAAATAAATATATGTATGTGTAGTAGTAAGGATTTAATTTTTTTACAGTTTTAAACTGAAAAAAAAGAAACTGAAAAAGAAAAAAACCTTTAAGTATTTTTCGCAATGTTAAAATACATTAATTGCTAAGTAGCGTGAATCGACGCGTAGAAAAGATTTGTACATTTAAATAAAAGGTTAGCTGACTACCTGGAACGGTTCATGTATTCACGTATAATTGTTGTGTTATGGTGTTTGCACAGTTCCTTTCTCTATTTACATTAAAAACTTTTAGCATATGATTTATTAGTCACTTATACTTGAGATTAGAAAAAAAATTTCTTGCGTCCATTTCTCCTTCTATATATATATATATTATAATTTTATTTAAAAATATTAGAAACCATTTCCTAATTATTTATGCATGATCTTAATTTAAAAAATGTATAATCAAAAGTATTTAATATATATGGATATAATTACTATTATAAACATATTGAGAATATCAGCACAATAATGCTAATGTTACCGATTAGACAAAAAGGAATTGATAATTGTTAACATTTATGGGACCGTTATAATTATGGAGGGAAAAAACAAGAAAGCTGAATTATCTAAAAAAATTTTTCCAATGTCTTGAGATGAGATTTAACAGTTTGTGTCAATGCGAAACGTTCGTCGTCCCAAAGCGAACATCTTGGATATTGGAGAGGAAGTGAGATCGTTGTGTAAATCATTTCAGCATATATTGCTACGGTAATTCATGAGATCGATTTTTCGTCAAATTTATTGCAAAAATCAATTAAACAAAAATCTCTCATAACGGTTGCATAATAATTCCCGCGAATTCTTGATATAATTGAAAATTTTAAGAAACGTCTTTTTTTCGTTTAATTTAAAAAATTTATTATCGTATCATTTTTTTAGGCCATCAATAGATGGAATAGGAAAGAGTGGAAAAAGAGAAAAGAAAAAGAGGAGGAAAAAACGGAGATATAATAATTATTTTTGAAAGAGAGCAAAAAGAAAATTCTCTATGCTATTACAAATTATGCTAACTAAATTAAATTTTATGCAAAAATTTAGAAAAAATTATATATAAGTTAAAGTTTATAATACTTACAGTAAACATTCATATAATTCTATTTTACAAAATTTCTTTTTCATTCTCTCAAAAATGATTATTATATCATTTTATAAGCTTTATAAAGAGATTATATGGAAGTTAAAGTTTATGATGTAATTCAAATTAATTTTAAGCTAAAATTATTGTTTAATTAATAGATGAAATTATATTTCATTTAGCAGAAATGAAAAGAAAGAGATGATAATATATATATATATATATCATTATGAAAAATCAGTCTAATTATATATTACTATGCTAATTTATGCTATTAATATGTTAGAAGTATTACAAATTTCCACAACATATTTCTAATATTTACGTGTATATTAAATTAAATAAATTCATTTAAATATTATTTTCATTTTATTATAGGAAGGAAAACTACGAAGAAAAACGAGCTCTTTTATTTATAATAATGTTAAGAATTATTTTCATCGATTATATCGATTTTCAACAATTTATAATCAAACAGAGATATTATTAACCATAGCAAAATATTTTCTGTTAAAAGAAATTCAATATAGTTCCTCTTAAAAGAATTTCTATTAATAATTAATGAAGAACAAAACTGAATATATGAAATGTTGTAATATATTTTTATCACAGTAAAAACAACAATAACAACAATAATTAATCAATAATAAATAATTAACGGTTAATAATTAATAATAATAAATTATTATATTGTTAAATTAGCAGTAATTAATTGATAACAATTAAGAATTTCTTTTTTTCTTGAAACGTTAGGAATATTCTATTTCGGATATATCAAAAATTTCTTTACACCTAATTCTACCAGTAATATTGTAAATCAAATTATCAAAATACATGTGAATAATTATAACAAGCAATTTGTTATAATATAATTAATAATAATTAAATAATATAATAATAAATTAATAATAATTTTACAATACAATAATAAATTAATAATAATTTAGTAATATAATAAACTAATAATTTAATAATATAATAATAAATTAAAACTAATTTAATAATAAATTAATAATAATTAAACAATGTAATAATAAGTTTAAAATAATATAATAATAAATAAATGAATAAATGAATAAATAATAAATAAATAGTAAGTAAATAAATAATAAATAATAATGACAATAGTAATAAGAACAATAATAGTATTGTAATAACAATAGTAGAAATAACAATAATAATGATAATTAATGAGAGCCTAATACGGCCCTCTCAACCAAATTGAGTAAATCGAAATAGAATGGGAAATCGTGCTTGAATGTATATGTTGTGTATGTGTCTATGTATATATGTATATGTAGGTAGGTGTGTGTAGAGTGTATGTGTGTGTACATATGTGTATGTATGTGTATGTCTGTGTATGTGTGTGTATGTGAGCTACGTTTGTAACTGCTGTACTGCAAATGTAATTTCTCCCTCGCATTCCTTTTCCTCTTTCCCTTTCTTCCTCTCTTCCTCCCTCTCTCTCTCACCGTTCATCTTTCCATAACCAAGAAATAGCTAACAACAATTTAGAATGAAGGATGTTCAATGAGAAGACGATGAATGAGTGAATGAATGGATGCAAGGGTTGGAATGGATAGATGGATGAATGGATGGGACGGATAGGATGGATGGATGGATAGATGTCCCGAGGAGGAGAAGATGGCCGAGCTGATCTATTAAATCACTGACACTATTTACCCTCTCTTCCCTTTTCCTTCTCTATCTCTACTTTTGCCTCTTTCTTTTTTCTTACAATTTCCTCTTTCTTTTCCTTCAATTTTATTCTTCCCCTCTAAATTATATATTACATAAATAAATATGAATGTGGTAGCCAATATGGCTTCCCATCTTATTTCATCGAGCATTACTTATACTGCAATTTACTACCATTAGTAATACTTCTACGACAACTAAACACCTCATTGTTTACTCTATAAATAATTGCTGTGATTATTGTATATTATTTTCACAAGTAAACAAACAAGAAAACAAATAAACAATTTTGTATTAATTTTAATTAATATATAATTGATATGACTAAAATGAAATGCGTTTTGCTATTATTTTAAAAGAGTTGGAAAGAATTATTATAAATGTTTAAAAATTGAATGATAAATAAATGAAATAACAAATAATAGTAATTAATAAATAATATCGGCTATTTGTTTAGATAATTCAAAGATTTTTAATTATTATCAAAATGCTTTATCATAATATGAAATCATAATGAATTGATCGCTTAATTAGGTATATGCTAAAGCGCGATCATAGTATCACTCGAGAATTCTTGCTTAAATATGGCGCTATTCATCACATTGAATAATTTGTGAGACCACAATAATTTGTCCATCACATATACTACCACAATACTAAAAATAGTCTGTTAATATCGGACATCACATCACGTATGCTACCGCGATATGGCGTAATTAATTATTACATGTGTTTTATGCTAAGTCGATGTTTTTGATTGTAAAATGACCGGAACGAAAAAAAGAAAAAAACACTGGAAGTAATTAATAACTATAATTAATAATGTTTGGATCTGAAAAAGCGGCAGATAAAACCTCTGATCAATTTTTCTGGGAATGGTTCAGGGATAAAATCTTATATAAGATTATCACAACCAATAATTATTAAATGATTTCTGGATAAATGATAGTTACGGTAATTGTCTCATTAATAATAGTAATAATAATAATAATAAATAATAAATAAATAATAATAAAATTTTAATGGTATGAAACAGATAAATGGAATTATAATTATGATAACCGATCAAAAACGTATAAAGTATGGAATGGATGATGATAATGATGGATCAATTAGTTATACTTTCATTCAACCGTGTTAGCTCCCCCAAATACACCGTGTAAAATCATTTCATTTTCTTTTCCTTTCTTCCGTTCTCTTATCCGTTTTCTATTAAACTATAAATATCGGATTAATTAATTAATTAATTAATCATATATTATATAAGTTTATGTCGGGAATTTATTCACTTCCTTTTTTTTCCAACATTAATTAATTCGTTGTTTATAATTAATCCATTTCATCGTGTAAATTATTTCAAATACTTTATTTTCATTACTTCTTTTTTTTTTCTTAATTTCATAATCGATAACTAACATTTGAAATGAATGATAAATGAAATTATGAATGAAAAGATATATATTTCATATTTTAAAAGAAAAAGAAGAAATGAAGAGATAAGCGAATTGGAGGAGAGAAAGAGAAAAAAAAGTTACATAAAAATTCATGCATTAATTTATACATGTAATTAATTTACATAGGCAAAATTAATAATTAGAGAATATGATAGTTTGTTGGATAAAGAAAAAAAGAAAGTTAAATATTGAGCTTAAAATGTAAATTAATACAAAATTTATGCGATTTAAAAGATATAAGTTAAGCGAAAAATTCTAACAATAAATAATGATAAAAGAAAATTCACAAAATGGATATCCAATAACCAATAACGAAGTAATATCCAATAACGAAATAATTTAGTAAATTCATTATTGCAAAAATAATTCAGCATTATATACTGCAATATCAATCAATAATAGAGGTCATAGGGTCATATGGGTTATATGCAACGATCTTTCTCGATACATGAATCAATTTTATGGCAGAAAGATAATCTGAAATAATTCGCAAAATGATAAGAAAATATAAAGGTGGAGAAGGGGAGAGAAAAAAAAATTGATCGCATCTTAAATTCGCAATTCTTCCTGTTCGATACCGGTGATAAATGCGCGATTTTCGCTATCCACATAAATGTATTGTCCCAAAAGACGTGAAATTTCAACACCCTGAAATGATCGTTTCAAATGAAATTTCGTTAT